TTCCAATAGGGAGTCACCAGTTACAATGACAACTTTTTAATATGGGAATTCTCAATTTGTAGAGACACAGACTTCCTTACTCTACTCAAAAGAAAGAAAAAAAAATTTAATAAAAAAGGGGCCATAATCTCTACAACTTCTCAGCCAATGTTTTTGGGACTGTCAGGTCTGTTAGGCTTGAGAGTTTTTACCAAATCCTTTGCTTTGCGAATCCAGGCAGGGGCGCACACTGCAGAACTGTAGATCTGAAGACAAGTTATTTGCTAGGTGGCTTACAACCTTGGGGGCAACAAGCAAGGGTCTACATCTACATTGTACAAATCTAACTGCACTTACTACAAAAAGCACTGCTAATAATTATTGCAAACATACAACTTTGGCCCTCACAGCCCAGCTTGCTTTTAATTAGAATAATCATGTTTACCTTCAATAGCAGACAAGGTTGTGAGTTCATTAAAATACATTACTTGTTGGTTTTTGGAACCAAAGTCAATTGCTATGCACTGATAATTATCAGCACCATGTCATGGTAATTGGCCTTACTAGCACAGGCAGGGGTGTTTTCTTGAGACAGCTGGACATTAATCTAATTACAATTTCCTACAGAATAGTAATTTTCTGGGGAAAGTCACAGCTATAAATCACTTATGGATCAGATAGCCCCAATAAAAGGGAAATTGCTGCCTTTTATATGTTTGCCTTCTACAATTGGTTTAAAAGAGGAAAAACACAGACTTCTGTTGAAGCTAAAATTAAAAGAACACATGTTCTGACATAAAAAAAAGCAAAGGTTTGAAAGAGATCAAATTTTGTGAGCAATAATTCAGGACTTGAAAATAACTTTATTTAGGATTTCCTGTTATAGCCCATTCCTTGCAGCTGACAATTCTGGAGCTATGTACCTACAGTATCTCACAGAAGTGAGTACACCCCTCACATTTTTGTAAATATATTATATCTTTGCATGTGACAACACTGAAGAAATGACACTTTGCTACAATGTAAAGTAGTGAGTGCACAGCTTGTATAACAGTGTAAATTTGCTGTCCCCTCAAAATAACTCAACGCACAGCCATTAATGTCTAAACCGCTGGCAGCAAAAGTGAGTACACCCCTAAGTGAAAATGTCCATATTGGGCCCAAAGTGTCAATATTTTGTGTGGCCACCATTAATTTTCCAGCACTGCCTTAACCCTCTTGGGCATGGCGTTCACCAGAGCTTCACAGGTTGCCATTGGAATCCTCTTCCACTCCTCCATGAGGACATCATGGAGCTGGTGGATGTTAGAGACCTTGCGCTCCTGCACCTTCCGTTTGAGGATGCACCACAGATGCTCAATAGGGTTTAGGTCTGGAGACATGCATGGCCGGTCCATCACCTTTACCCTCAGCTTCTTCAGCAAGGCAGAGGTTGTCTTGGAGGGTGTGTGTTTGGGGTCATTATGTTGGAATACTGCCCTGCGGCCCAGTCTCCGAAGGGAGGGGATCATGCTCTGCTTCAGTATGTCACAGTACATGTTGGCATTCATGGTTCCCTCAATGAACTGTAGCTCCCCAGTGCCGGCAGCACTCATGCAGCCCCTGACCATGACACTCCCACCACCATACTTGACTGTAGGCAAGACACACTTGTCTTTGTACTCCTCACCTGGTTGCCGCCACACACGCTTGACACCATCTGAACCAAATACATTTATCTTGGTCTCATCAGACCACAGGACATGGTTCCAGTAATCCATGTCCTTAGTCTGCTTGTCTTCAGCAAACTGTTTGCAGGCTCTCTTGTGCATCTTCTTTAGAAGAGGCTTCCTTCTGGTACAACAGCGATGCAGACCAATTTGATGCAGTGTGCGGCGTATGGTCTGAACACTGACAGACTGACCACCCACCCCTTCAACCGCTGCAGCAATGCTGGCAGCACTCATACGTCTATTTCCCAAGGATAACCTCTGGATAGGACGCTGAGCATGTGCACTCAACTTCTTTGGTTGACCATGGCGAGGCCTGTTCTGAGGGCAACATGTCCTGTTAAATCGCTGTATGGTCTTGACCACCGTGCTGCAGCTCAGTTTCAGGGTCTTAGCAATCTTCTTATAGCCTAGGCCATCTTTATGTAGAGCAACAATTCTTTTTTTCAGATCCTCAGAGAGCTCTTTGCCATGAGGTGCCATGTTGAACTTCCAGTGACCAGTATGAGACAGTGAGAGCTATAACACCAAATTTAACACACCTGCTCCCCATTCACACCTGAGACCACTAACAGTAACTAATTAGTAACACTAATGAGTCACATGACACCGGGGAGGGAAAATGGCTAATGGGCCCAATTTGGACATTTTCACCCAGGGGTGTACTCACTTTTGTGCCAGCGGTTTAGACATTAATGGCTGTGTGTTGAGTTATTTTGAGGGACAGCAAATTTACACTGTTATACAAGCTGTATACTCACTACTTTACAATGTAGCAAAGTGTCATTTCTTCAGTGTTGTCACATGAAAAAATATAACACAAAATATTTACAAAACATGTGAGGGGTGTACTCACTTCTGTGAGATACTGCATGTACTTAACTTAGACTATTTATTGAAAAGCAGCTGACAGTATAGTGGTCAAAGAACTCTAGCCAGTGATTTTGAAAGCATAAATAATCCCTCTCCCAGAATCAAAATCCCTACAGGAACCAGAGCATCTTCTCATCTTTGTGTTGAGTTACAATGCCACTATCTCCTTAATAGGTTTTTCATACAAATCAGGACATTCAGGACCTTGGGAGGTGACGATTTCCTCACTGGAGTTCCAAAGAGCTCAGATAAGCTGGCCTGCTAAGAGCAATGGATGCTCACTTTTCAAGGCAAGGTTAAATATTTAAAGCAGAATTTGAGATGAAGAGCACCTTAAGATTGCAAACCTTGGTTACCAACCTACATGTCGTCATTGATTATCCACAATGATATTTTTGAGCCAACCATTAACAATGAGAGGACATCCGATGTGATGTCTTGCAAAGGAACCCTTAAATAAATATATCTCAACACAATGTATTTAAATCCAGTAGTTAATCTAAACTAGTAAGCTGACCCGCGGAATCTTTTTTACCACTGTATCTACCTAAATGGTAGAGGGATCTGGGTAGGGAATTCTTGGCAGAACAAGACATTATGTACTTTGCTCATTACTCCTCCATTGCAAGTAAATACCAGGAGTTTGGGTGTAAAATGCTCACCCACCAGTATAGGGTTCCGACCCTGTTGGGTAAGCTCTACCCAGAAGCGACAAATATTTGCTGGTGCTGCAAAGAAGAGTAGGGCACTATCCTCCATGTTTTCTGGTCTTGTAGCAAGCTGACCAGCTTTTGGTCTCAAGTCAGAGAGACTGACAAACATTGGATGGATTTCGACCTAGGGGGAAGACCAAGTCAGGTACTTACTGAGACACTCTGAACGCTCTAGGAAACACTAAAAATTCTCTCCACCTGCTGAATGTTGCCTGCGCCTGCATACTGTTACTCTGGAAACAGGATACCTTCCCAACGCTCTCCATGTGATTTACTAAAATTGCCAAAATGTACTCAATGAAAAGCATTACAGCTTCGCTTTGAGGCCAGGAGGCAAATCTTAGCTATAAATGGTTCTATTGAACTCTTTACCTGCTCAAGGGAATATGCATCAATTGGGCACTCAGAAGAGTGAGATTTCACTCTCTCTCCCTTCTCAAACCCCTCTCCCCCCTTCCCTCACTTTTTTCCCCCCTTCTTTTTCTCATCCCTCTCCTTGCGGTTTTCTTTTTCTATCTTTTGCCAATTTGGTCTTCACTGTTAGACGCTATGTTGAAAATGTGTCTTATGTGTTATTGTCGTAAAAATACAGATGGGATGCATTCTCTCTTTAGCTTGCTATTTAGGTTCTGACCCTGATGGGCAATTCTACACTTCGAAAATTTGTCTATTTTGTCATATTGCCTTTGAAATGGCTTATGTTGAATTCTGTATACGTTCTTCTGTCATTCCTATCTGTATGTAATATTGTTAAATAAAGTGTTAACAAAAATCCAGAACTTTTACAATATGAACCACAGTACAGAGCCCTTTGTAGTCCCTGACAACAGTCCTAAAAGCTTACAATCTTAAATTCCTAAAACAGACATGCACAGTATAGGTTCACTGGGAGGAAGCCAACTGAATTACCTGTATTTGATACACCCAGAAGTCATCCAAACCCAGAGTAAATGTAAATTTCATGAAGATACTATACTTGGTGAGAATCAATGCATGTTAACCTCTCAGCCTCCCTACTTCTATCATTCCTTCAGACTTCTTGTGCCTGAATACCCAGACCAGCTTATAAGCATCTTACAAAATAAGGGTCTTAGCATTTAGGATGATCAGTAATATTATCTGTACTGTAAACCACCTCACATGTTCTTCAAATAAAAACTGTGTGTAGAAACTATAGATTTCAAGGAATACAACGTGGGGGTCAAAAATGGACCATACCCAAACAGGTTATGGTGAGGTGGACTAGAGGCAATTAAACAGTGTGTGAAGATGAATACAGCCTTCTGACACAAGCGATCTGCATGTATTACTTTTGTTACACATGCAACACATACAGTATAAGGTCAACATTAGTAATGCTGTATTGCAAACATTTGACTCTGGAAAAATATATTGCTTGTGCAGAACTAAATATAGCAATATTTCTTAACACCTGGTCAACCAAAAGGTCCCAACAGCTTCATGTAGTCTGTTATTATCATTAGTAGTGGCCAGTTCATAGGTTTTTATATACCAGGTCAAGTTTTCAAGGTCTAAGCCTACAATAATTAAATCAGGGAACCCCTAATTTGTGCAGAAGCCTTTCCTGCTGTTGTACATGTGGAGATGTTAAGCATTTCCTTTCATCTTATTTTAAAGACCATTAAGCATGCATGACTTCAAGCACCACTGGTCATGCCTTGATTGTTACTTTGAGTAATGAGATTTGAAGCTGTAGGACACTTACCCTGTAATTATCCATTAGCACAGCCAACCATGGTTTTATGGTCTTCATCACATCTGAAAGCAAATGTTTTTCAACTTCAGACCCATCATGAAAGGTCAGGTTACCCACATGGATAGACTTCCTCACTTCTGAGAGTGCCAAGAATAAGCCAAAGTACTCCTGGTCTGCTGGCTCCTGCAAATCAATAGGTGACAAAATTAGAAGTCATAATGATGTCAAAACATATACCAAGGTGTACATTTTAACACAGAAGTGCAAGGGATATAGAACTTGGCTTGCTTGTAACTTTTCCATCCTATACAACTGAAGTGTCATCTAATATGGAAGCAATGAGCAGATTCTAAGGCTTCCCAAAGACAGTGACAGTGGCATAGCATGACCCTACAGTCATAGTAGCAAATATTCCACACCTATCTTATAAACTGGCAAGATCGGCTATGCTGCCCTAGTAGGTTTATGTATATGCAAAGGGTGGGGAGAGCACAGGCTGCCAGCAGGAGTGAACAATATCAGGACTGGCTATTTAATATGCCGAATGAATGTCTTCTCTGCTACGAATTGTTCTGCATCGGCCTGACACAGTTGGTTTCATCAAACAGTCACAGTTTCTGCTTTATTTTAAGAAATCTACATCTGAGATTCATTGTATGCCTGTGTTGGATTTAAAGTGGTTGTAAACCCTTACATATACCCAGTGAAGTGACTGGCTTCAGGTATACAGAGCACAAATCCTCCTACATAAGCTGTACCTGTATCTGCAGTCTTCTCTTCTCTACATCCATTCAAAGTGCAGAACATAAAAAGCTTGCCTGAGCTTTCAGAAAGAAAGGAGCTGAAATAACACACTGCGGAGCTCAGCGAGGAGAGCTCTGAGAGCTGACTGGAGGGAAGAGACACACCCCTTTCCACACAGCTCAAAGGAACAGAGCTGAGGCTGTCAATCACAGGTCGTGTGCTGAAGGTCCCTACCCGGTCACCTTTTTTATATTTATGTCAGGAAAACCTGTCTGAAGTAACGGATAGCAGAGGAATGCAGCAACAGACAAACACTCAGTGCTCTGGACTGAGCAAAGTACACACAGAGGGGATATGTGTTGTTCATCTTTCATGTACAATGTTTACAGCCACTTTAAATCCTCCAAGCAGATATTAAATCTGCCCAGGTTCCTTAAGGGATCTCTCCCTGAGTTAGTTTTTTTTTTTTACACTGTAAAGAATGAAATCAGAGGAGCTAAACTCCATGGCATCGAGTTGCAGCCCTGAAAACTCATGGAGGTTTGTTTTTGTTTTGTTTTTTTAACCACTTCCAGACTGGACACTTTTACCCCCTTCCTGACCAGGGCAATTTTCAGCGCTACACACTTTGAATGACAATTGCGCGGTCATGCCACACTGTACCCAAATGAATTTTTTTACCATTTTTTTGAGACAGATAAAGCTTTATTTTGGTGGTATTTATTCACTGCTGGGATTTTTATTTTTTTTGCTATGTAAATGATAAAGTCCAAAAATTTTGAAAAAAAGTGTTTTTTTTTTTAAATTTTGCAAATAAATAATATTTCATCATAAATCTTGGCCAAAATTTATTCCGTTATCTTTTTAGTAAAAAAAAAAAAAAAATCCAAATTAGTTTATAACCAAAAATTATAATTTTTAAATATATTTTTTTTTACATTTATTTTTTTTTTTATATTATTTTTTTTTTTTCTACACTGTCACCCTAGCAGTACAGTGTCCCCATGGTGACACTGTACTACTTGTGGAGAGTGATGAAGATTTTTTTTTTTTTTTTTACACTGATTGCTTTTACACCCATATAGGATGTAAAAGCAATCATTTCAAGCAATCAGTGCTCACATGATCAGGACCTCGTACAGAGAGGTCCCGTCTGACGATCGGTGTTTCACTGTGTCCGGAGGACACAGCGGGCACCGGATTGCGGTGCTGCGCACTCCCAGGGAGCACGCACAAGCAGGGTGCGGGGAGGCAGTTTATAAACGGCCACCCGACCCTGCACTGCCACCGTCCGGCCGTTTATATACAACGGACGGACGGGAGGTGGTTAAAACAGAAGTTCCAAAAATGTATCTTAGCATTATACAGGATTTATATAGCACTAGCAGTTTGCACAGCACTTCACACATTTTTTCCACACAGTGCTACAGGATGCTTTTTTAAACCATCTGAAAGGCACAATATTTCAGGGCAGCATTTTTTCCTGTGTGATACTATGCTTATAGGAAGGTTGGATTCTTAGGGAAAAAAGGGGAGGCAATTAAGGGTAACTAACGTTATGCTTCAATAGTAAATTGTTTACACCAGCATATAAAGCCACATACACAACAACATTAATGTGGTTCGCCCAGCAAAATCTTTCAGAAGTAGAGAAAATAAAGACCTCTTAACTACAGAGCCCATTAAAACATGATAGGGTCATTAGGCTTACAACCTTAGAACATAAAGCATAAAGATTAAAGCCATCCACTTGTTCACAGCTCAGCCAGAATCTTGCAAATGGTGTCCATTTCATCTATATCCCTTGAAATATGACAATGTATGCACCACAAAGTAGGAGTACAAGACTTGGTATAATCATAAGCAAGGACTAAACATAGGTGCCTTTACTTTGTTAAATTGAAAAGGCAGGCAACATTAATTGTGGTATTCAGTAAAAAGTGTTTGATGACTTTTAAAGTTGAACTGTACCCGAACTTTGTTTAGATGGAGTGGGGAAGGGTTAGAAGATCATTCAGGTGATTATTGCTCTGTGTCCCTATAGTGGAGATTTGCTCTGAGTTCCTGTTCCAGAGAAAAAACAGGAAGAGAGAAGAAATCCAACTTCTCAGAGTTCTTCTAACAGAAATCATTCAGAAATTTCTCCTCTCCAGTTTCATTGACTGCAAAATTCATCTTCACTTGGCGGTGAATCTCCTAAATGAGGAAAGAGGCCTGACAGAGTTTTAACCGGTTTCTACTTCACTACTTTAAAAAAAAAAAAAAAAAGATGTTTTTGAAAAGAGTTCTATTTTAGGTGCAGTAATTCACCACCACCAATCCCAATTAAATCTGATGAACTCTGATTGGCTGCTGTGGTTTACTGCAGTATTCTTAGCTAAATAAACGAAGACTAAATTTTATTACAGCTAAACATTAGAGACCTGCATCTAACTGCATAAAATACCGTTCTTGCTGAATGTTTACTCTGCATTGCAAAAAATGCTGCAAGAGAAGACTTCAGGGCAGGGAGTTACTAGAGGTTATTTCCTTACATGAACGCCTCCATATAGATGTTATCGGGCAAATTGTCCAACAGTCAAGCTATTTTAAAGGCCTCTAGACCTCAGAATGTCCAGCATATAGAAAGATTTCATCAGATTTACCAAAGGCAAACAGACTGTGCACTTTGCAAGTGCAGTTGCTCCAGAGCTTTGTAAATGAGATGAAGCTTCACTTGCAAAGAACACCCAATCACATACAAGGGGAAAAAAAACCCCCACACAGAACAAAAAAAACAGAATAATGGAAGTCAGCAGAGTTTCCCCTCATTTACAGCAGTGCCATTTATTCAGAGCTCCCTGAGAAAAAATGGACTACTACTACCATCATCCACCGCAGGATACGGCTTGTAGTTCTGAATGAACTCCCGAGGGCGCTAGCGAGCACCCTTGTAGCTCATTCACAAGTCCTGCAGCTTTTAACTGACAGCCCATATGGAGGTACAGGCTGAAAGCTGCTGGGCTTGTCTGCAGAAGCCTGACACTGTACCCCCTGGTCCACTGATCAGAGGTGCAATGCTTTCCAGGTTCCTGCAGGAAAAAAAATAATAAATGCACATCTATTTTCTGCAAAAAATTGTGCATTTATTATTTTTCTAAAAAGGTGAATTCATCCTTTAAGTCATGTGGACATATCATCGAACAATTTAAAAAAACGTTTTACCTTGCATTGGAGAAAATTGAAGTAATTGCTACAACCAGTCACATTTTGGTAGAATGAAGGGTAAGAGGTTCTGTCACCATTCAGCAATGAATCAAAAACCTAAAAGAGAAAAAAAAAACCCACCATGCATAAAATTATATACTTTATATACTTGGAATACTTCCAGGCATCCACATACTTGGCCTATAAAGCCGAACTCCAGCTAAACATTGTTATTTCTTATTTTAGGCTAAAATGTAGACCCCGTCATTGGGACATGAAGTGAGGAGAATCTGCCTTACAAGAACAAACAAAACAAAAAAAACAACATTTCCGTTTATTCGGAATAAAAAAAAAAAAAAAAAAAAAAAATGGCAATAGCAGATATGAAATTTAGCAAATATATGAATATTAAAAAATTTATATGCTGGTTGTAAAGAATATTTTTATGTTTTTAATTGCTAGCTTTCTTCAGTTACATTAAACCCTCTCTCAAACATTTTCTTTTATAGCTAAACATCAGGAAAATAAAAAAACACAAATAATTAAAAAAAAAAAAAAAAAAAAAAAAAAAAAAAAAAAAAAACACACACCTTTGCAGTTTGGCCAAACTGCAAGGATTAAAAGGATAAGTTCACCTTTTGGAACAGATTACGTTACATGTTCCAACCAATTTTAGTATGGACCGTGTAACATGTTCCCAATGCTGCAGCCGCTGCCCCCCTCCCTTCCCTGTGACAGAACTATGGACAGAAGTTCCCTGTACTAACTGTCACTCTTTAAAAATCATTCACAGTGTTCTGTGAATGAATGAATGAGCTACAAGTCCCGACAGCCACTAAGGCTGTTGGCTTGTAGTTCTCAATGAACTACCATGGCTCTATGGAGAGCTGTGGGCAAGCAGATATACTGACAGGTCAAAAGGTGAACTTATCCTTTAAATGCTTGTTTTTGCCTAGTGTACCACTAAAAGGCAGTTTTACTTACCTTATTCTTCACTCCCTCAGGCTCCTCTCCATACGTCCAGTCCCCAAAAACAACTTCCCTTTGTCCTGCATTGTAAGTCAGGATGCTGAGGAGCCAACCACAATGCAGAGCAACCACCGGATTGTATGTAAACCCCCCCCCCCCCCCCATGACGTACAGACTTGGCAGCGAAAGGGTTTGTTTTTTTGTTTTTTTTTTTTAAAGGTGAACTTATTCTTTAATAGGAGCCTGGAAAGCATAGTACCAGCAATCAGCAGATCACTGGTGTCATGCAGGACTCCTGCAGACCTGTCCGTGTAAGCTGTCTGCCAGTAAATTGTATGGGCAGGCAGTTTCACACTGACAGGAAGGATCAAAGAACTACAAGCAGACATCCGCAAAGGATGTCGATACTTGTAGTGGATTCATTCACAGAACTCTGAATGAATGAAGTGGCTGTGTAGGCAGAGCCCACAATGGCAGCACTTTTTTTTTTTTTTTTTTTTTTTTTAAAAAGGGACAGCTGGTACAGGGAACCTCTCCGCTATGTAACACAGAGGGCTCGGATCACCAAGCAGCTGCAGGAGCGGGAACACAGGTTGAACATGTAACGTGTTCCTGAAGGTGAACTTATCCTTTTTAAATCGGACCTTCAAGAGACTTGTGAGGTGTGCAAAGTCCAATCCTCTGTGCTTTACTAGATCTCTTCCTCTAGCAGCCTCCTCCTAGTGGCCCCTAACCTCAGTACAACTCACATTACATAAGATAAACAGCAAGTGTTTCTAGACCAGACAGATGTAAAAAAAACAAAAAAAAACAAAAAACAAAATGTATTTACTCACCAACAAGAAAACAGTTTAGGAATAGTGAACTATGTAAACATGTTAGTAAAAACAAACGCATAGTGATCTAATGCCATAACAAGCGTGAAAAGAATTTAGAACATAGGATTGTATACAGAAAAAAAAAAAAAAAAGAAGAACAGTGCAAAAGGGCAACACTGATGGGTAAAGTGCAGTAACCTATAACATACAATTACATTCCAGCTTACTGAAAGCTGAACTCCAGCCTTCAGTATTGCACAGTTGTACAGGCTTCTCTTCTGTACTGGAATTGCTTACTGTGATTTAATTGCACACTGAGCATCTCACAGTGTGCACTAAAAGCTGCAGCAAGACAGTTAAAGTATGCCTTTTTCTGGCTGGAGGACATCCATCATCACCTAGCACTTTTCTCCTCAGCCTTGCTGTCTCTGGCACGCGCCACTGTCATTTATTGGATTTCAGTTCTTTTAATCATGGAAGCTCAGAATCACTTTGAGGGTATTGCCTAGGGCAGTCTGCATGCAAATGTTGCCCGCCTAGGAGCTCCCACTCCTCCAGACTGACATCCACCCATCAAGGCATCTTAATATTTGTTCGACTCCACCCGAGATTTACCCCACTGCTTGTATCAAAGATGAGGGCTACTCAGAAGAGCACTGAGACCGAAAGCTATGCACAGCGCCCGATTGGTCCCTCCCAACCAACCACAAAGAAGCACAGAGACCCAGTGATGTTGTGACTCAGTCTAAAATAAGTTATGTAATGAAAAAACAGAAAGATTTAATTTTACCATGTTGAATGTGGGATGGGGAGTGGGGCAGGTTAAGAAAAAAAAGATTTTTTTTCCAGCTTGAAGTCAGATTACAGATAAATGCTACCTAGATACAGTTGGTTACCACACTTTTTACAATGCCTCAATAGATAGGATTGTCTGTAGTAAGAGAACATAAAAGACATACGTCAAACGCGTCAATCCACTTCTGCTGTTTGATGTAGCTTATTGCCAGATCGCATTGCCTCCGGACAAAATCCTTCTGGTTTTCATCCACCATGCCAGTTTGGTACAGGAAGTCAGCATAACCACCCAACATCTGTGTGACATACACATAATAATGATTAGCATAACCTATTTCCCTGGCCTGATTTAAGTGTGGTTTGTGTTTAATCCTAATCAGTTAAGGCAATCAGAAATGTTAAATCCTTTCTAGCCTGAACTTGATACAGAAACATACTTACCATCTGAAGCATTTGTTAACAACACACTACAAAGTCTTATGGGAACGTGCATGCTTTATCAAAACATTGTGCAAGGGGAGAAAGGAATTCCACCTCCATTTGTAGATCAAACGAAAAGGAAAATTGAATTAAAATGCCCTACCCCTTCAGGATCACAGAGTCCGTCTCCGATGGCAATCCCCTTGAAGTTGATTTTAACCTTAGCGGTTGGATTGTGAATATGGATGTAATAGCCGATTGCAGGAACATATTTCCCAGCATAGGACTGAAGGAAAAAACAAACAGCATTCTTGGTTACACACTACATTTAGAAGCATGAAAGAGTATTTATAAAATCAGAAACCTCTGCTTCTAGTTAGATTACAAAGAAAGCTGGCCTAATAAAGACAAATTTAAAGTGTATGTAAACCCCAAACAATGAGCTTCTCCTATTTGCTCTGTTAAATATACTAAAGGAAAAGGTTTTTTTGTTTAATAAGTGGCAAAAAATACATGTTGATCCTGCCAGAAATCTTGTGATCCGATAACTGTTCCCTCTGCCTGTGCTGTATCATTTAGCATGGTTTACAGGACACCTCCACAACTGATTATAGAGAACAGGAGAGGGAGAAGTGTGTGTTCTGTAGTCCTGTCCTAGGAAGACAAGGCTACTCCTCCATAAATATAGTACTGCGAGTGTCAGCTTGGTCACCCTAGAATTGGAAACATGCTACTGGCAGGATCCTTGGGTTAAAATAAAGGGCCAAAGGCTAAAAGAAGAAAACTAATACAGGCACCACATCTAAGCACTGAAATATAAATTATTTCTGTACTTGGGTCTAGATACACTTAAAAGGTATGCACATTGGTGATAAGAAGCAATAACGTATCCATGTCAGTTAAAAAAAAATTAAATGTTTATTTAAAAAAAAAAAAAAAAAAAAAAAAAAAAAGGAGTTGCAACTACTTTCATTAGTTTTTTAAACCATCCTCAAAGGCTAAAGTTTTCATCTCTCTTCATCCATCTGATTTCGGCTAGTCAGTTGAGAGAAGGGTTTTTTTTTTGCCTGGCCCCTGCAAATCGCCTATAAGGACCAAAAGAGGGAAATCTCTGCATAAACACCAAAACATACCATACAGTCAAAGCTTGCACAGGAACAAATCGGTGTCTGACCGTGCTCAAAATCTCAAGTGTTAAATCTAAAACAATAAAAAAGTGTTAAGATAATACCATATGACGACACGTCGAAACATGTTAGGCAGAGGCGAGCTCTGAGTGAAATTCCCTGCACTGAGTCTGCTTTGACCCGCAGCCTGTGTTCACGGATAAAGCCGGCAGTTTTACTTGCATATGCGCATACTTCCTTACTGTCAGGCATGACATATGGTATGTGAGTGTACCTATCATGACTTTTAATAATAAATAATAGATTGTTTTACACTATGAAGTCTTCCGTTCTGTTTTTTTGACATGTTGGCAAATGGTCTGGAACTGTGAGAACCTTGCAAGCCAGTAATATAGAGAGTGGATCAAATAAGTCATTGTTGGCTGTTTAAGATTGCATAGTGCTCCAACAGGATTGGAAGTGGATTGCATTGTGTATGATATAAGGAACACATTTTTACTTTGTATTTTAAGTTGTGTTGAAAGAGGTGCTTTGACATTACACCTTTAAAAAAAAAAAAAAAAAAAAAAAAAAAAAGTGATTTTGTACACACACACACACACACACACACACACACACACACACACACACACACACACACACACACACACACACACACACACACACACACACACACACACACACACACACACACACACACACACACACACACCCCTTTTGAAAGGTAAGATAATTAATATCTCACTGAACACAAGAACAATTTCCCAAATTGACAAAACAGAGTTTTATAGATCATTTGCTTAGCTCATTATATAAAAAGTTAAACAATATAAATTCGATTACAAATAATCTAAAATTATAGTAAATAAAAAAAATACAAAACAAAACAAAAAAAACAAAAAACTTTTGATTACTTCAGTTTACGCAGATTAGTTGATGCAAAAATGAATACACCCCACAACAAAAACTAATACTTCTAGTATTTTGTATGACCTCCATGATTTGTAAGGACAGCACCAAGTCTTCTAGGCATGGAATGAACAAGTTGGAAACATGTTGCAACATCTATCTTTTCCATTCTTCAAGGACGACCTCTGTTAGAGCCTGGATGCTGGATGGAGAGTGATGCTCAACTTGTCTCTTCAGAATTCCCCATAGGGGAAAGGTTCACACTGTACATACACATCACTGTTTTTTTTGTTATTTGCGCTGGATGTGTGTTTTGGATCATTGTCATGTTGGAAAAGTGCACGACGACCAAGGGCAAGGAGTGATGGTAGCACCTTCTCTTTAAATATAGAACAGTACACCTGTGAATTCATGATACCATCAATGAACTGCAGCTCCCCAAAACCAGCAGCAGTCATGCAGCCCTACAGAAGGACACTGCCAGCACTATGTTTCACCATAAGCACCATGGATTTTTCTTTGTACTCCTCACCATTGCGACGCCATACAGTTTTTAAGCCATCCATTCCAAAAACATTTATCTTGGTCTCATCACTCCAGAGTACAGAGTCCCAGTGGTCTTTTTCTGCATGGGCCCTGGCAAATTCTAGGTGGGCTTTTCTGTGCATGGGCTTTAGGAGAGACTTCGTTCGTGAACCCATGCATGCCATCCTCTGCAATGTACGCCATGGGAAACAATCACCCAAGTTTGGATACTTCTTTAGCTAACTGCAGTGAACTTGCATGGCAATTTTCTTCAACTCTTCTCATCAGAAGACGCTTCTGTCGAGGTGTTAACTTCCATGGACAGCCTAGATGTCTCTGTGAGATGGTTGCAGTTCCATCTTTGTTAAATATCTGTATTATTTTTGCTACAGTATTCTTACTGATAAGTAAAGCTTTGCTGATCTTCTTGTAGCCTTCACCTTTCTTTTGTAATGAAATTATTTTCTTTGTCAGGCCTTGTGACATTTCTCTTCCATGTGGTGCCATTCCTCACAGCATGAAATGGGAAACGGGTTTCTTTGTTAAATAAAGCCCTTTTATAATCAACTGTCTGCTGGACACCTATTTAATGAATAATTAGACTCACCTGTAGTTAAATTCATGTTAAATTAGGTGCAAGGCTAAATTTTAGACAACAAATTCTAAGACTTTCATTGGCGTGTATTGATTTTTGCAACATGGTCTTGAATGAATTTGTTAGGAAAAATACTGTGTGTGCAATGTGCAAATCTTATTTGCAATCAATGGCCTGCATTTGTTAGAGTAGGGAGTATTTTGTAGTATAGAGTCCCATAGAAATGTTGATTCTGAAAGAAAAGTAAAGATTCTCTAACAGTCCTGCTGGTGGTGTGTATATTATATATACACATACATACACACATATACACAAACACACACTGTACATACACACATTTTTTTTGGTTATTTGCGCTGGATGGTGGACATTAAGGATTTTGTTTATTTGGATTTAATATTATTATTATTATAGACACATTGTTCATGAATGGAGTTGCACAATATTTTGAAAAGTGAGTATTTTGTTGATACATTTTATATGGTATTATGTTAACACTTTCTTGTCTTAGATTAGATTTAGTTTAACACTTGAGATTTTGAGTGCGGTCATTCACATTTGTGTCTTTGCACACTCCACAGTGAGTTTAGTGACTGCAGCTGCATATTATTAATGATATCTTTGGCGCGGAGCTTTTCACATTTATAAAGCTTGCACAGGGCTAAGGAATCTTCCAATGCCCCATAAAGTCCTGGTGATGGAACTTGTAGGCACCAAGCACTACATTGTAAGAGAAGGGGAGAAAGTTACATGCTCACCCATACCCAGAAATACCAGGCAAATTACCTTCTCTCATTTCAATGTATGAAACTGTAATAGCATAGGAAAGAATTGCAAAGGAACAGGAGGATTTCAATAGTTTACATCAGTGTGAAAACTGTCAACAATTTCAGTATTAACAAGCACAAAAATAAAAGGGTAGCCTGATAGAGGATTTTGCTTGCAATTTGGCAAATGCACTGATTCTGTGTTGGTTAAGGAGTCTCATCATCATTTTAAACACAATGCAACAGACTTGTCTCAAGAGAATGAAAAATGTCAGCATTTTTCAGCAGCCTCTCCCTCCAATCTGGTCAATCGGTCTGCTCCTTTTTCTGATAATAACTCCTATAACCCTCCCTCTAGGTAAATTGGAATCCTGTCCAGATCTGTGAGCCACTAACTCAAAGCAGCAGCACCTACCTAGAGTCACAAAATGTTTTATAGCTTTCAATTTTCTGATGCTCAGTTTAAACATAAAGTCTGTGATTTTCAGTCATTCAGGACCAAATGGTCAACACATTTACAGCATCATATTTAGGGTTAATGCACACTGCTCCTAGGAGGAGTTTAGAGTTCTGTCTGTAGAAGCAACTAAACAACCTAATGTGCATGGACACATAAAATAATATTAGAGGCATATTTTAAGCTCAGCATTTAGAGGCAGGGAAAAAAAAAAACCCCTACTGTTTTGCATTTTTGAGAGCGGTTTTCTAGCAGAAAATACACACACACACACACACACACACACACACACACACACACACACACGAGAACACCCCTTTTGAAAGGTAAGATAATTAATATCTCACTGAACACAAGAACAATTTCCCAAATTGACAAAACAGAGTTTTATAGATCATTTGCTTAGCTCATTATATAAAAAGTTAAACAATATAAATTCGATTACAAATAATCTAAAATTATAGTAAATAAAAAAAATACAAAACAAAAAAAACAAAAAACTTTTGATTACTTCAGTTTACGCAGATTAGTTGATGCAAAAATGAATATACCCCACAACAAAAACTAATACTTCTAGTATTTTGTATGACCTCCATGATTTGTAAGGACAGCACCAAGTCTTCTAGGCATGGAATGAACAAGTTGGCAACATGTTGCAACATCTATCTTTTCCATTCTTCAAGGACGACCTCTGTTAGAGCCTGGATGTAGGATGCAGAGTGATGCTCAACTTGTCTCTTCAGAATTCCCCATAGGTGTTCGATTAGGTTCAGATTAGGAAACATACTTGGCCACTGAATCACTGTTTTTTTTTTGAAATGCAACAGTGGCCTTCGATGTGTGTTTTGGATCATTGTCATGTTGGAAAAGTGCACGACGACCAAGGGCAAGGAGTGATGGTAGCAC